TGATGTATAGCAACATAACATGACGAGAGTTCGCTCGGGGCTCGCGGGCGAAACTGAGGAACTAGGTAACGGAGGTTTTGAAGCTGAAATTGGAATTGTTTACGCAAAAAATAAATCATCATTTTAGGCGGGTTCAATGTGGTCAACTGCATCAAGGTGTGTGTGGAGCCAATGTTTGGGGATGAGCCAACCGAGTGTGTAGGCGCGCATGGAATAGAAAGATGGGAAGAGGTCTTGAGCAAAGATGAGGGTAAATTTAAGGAGGTCGAAGTCGAAGGGAAATGGTAGAGTGGAATGGATGGTACCTAATGCAACAAAGTTAGTAGCAAGGGAGTTTGAAGTGTTGTGGCTAGGGGTTGTGAATGGACCAAACCTCAAGACTGGAGCGTGAAATAAGCTCATCGGAGAAGGCAACATGGATGATGGGGACATCAGTTGGAAAGTCTACCGTCGACGTGGCCGTAAATCAACGGCCACGATTTACCCGATGTACTTTTGATTTTATTCTTATCTACTTATTGATGTAATCTTTTTATTTCAGCATTTTTTCATTTTTACCCTTGCTTGAGGGATTGAGTCTTGTAGCCCATTAAGGGTATTTGAGTCCTTTTTTGCTTTAAGTTATTGTATGAGGCTATTTATAACACTAAACAATAAGGCGATAAAACCAGCTTAGGCTAAATCACATGCACAGAAGTTAAGGTAGTAAAACAATCAATTAATCTAACATTGCGTTCGTGGTTGATTTTCAACGATAATCCTTAAACTAACAATGAGATTAGTCACTAAGAGATACCCCTCACTCAACTCTCTAATATACTAGACTTTAGCGGAGAGAATTAACACGGTCCTAGTGAATCAAATTACAACCACAACCGAAGATGACTAGGAAGGTAAATGATTTAGAGGATTAGCTCACCGTTGTCAAGGCTTAGCAACCATCCGTGTTTATCGGAGTTTGGACTTTGGGACAGCAGGTAGGGGACTCCCGGAGGGTTTAACAGCAGTTCTTCTTACTAGAATTCCTGGGACAGCAATCTATCAATATCCAGAAATTCTGGACAGCAAATGGGGCCGTTCCAGCAACCTGGACATCAAACTACCTTGCTGAAAAGTGCAGGACAGCAACCTTCGAGGTGGACAGAACCCTGGGCAGCAGTTGTGGGGAGACTAGGGCTACTGGATAGCTGGCAGTGGCCTTCAAGTGGTGCAGAACAGCGGGTTGTCCTCTCTGAAATTCTGGGAACAGAACTCAATAATACCAAAGAATAGAAGAAATCGAGAGGGAGAAACATTGAGGGCCGGCTGCTGGGGTTGAGAGGGAATTACGGACTGTTTGAAAGGTTTAATGGAGGGAATTAATGTGAGTTAATTAGTTTGTGGAGAGAGGTAGGGTAGAGGGAAGGCCGGACATAGGGAAAGGAGGGGAAAGCATCTAGGTTCGATGTATGTGGTCCCCATGCAATCAATTTAATGATATGATTAAATCTGAATTAATTTCAGATTTTAGAGATTGAATGGGTTTCCAACAATAGGATTCATTAGTATGGGATTAATTTGAAATTTAAATAAGTTTGAATTCAAATCAAGAAGTTTCTATATTAATAGAAATATATTTTAGGAAAATAATTAAGGGGGGATTTGAATTTTGAAATTCAAAATCCATGAGGGATTTGGAGGGTAAATTTGAAAATTTGATTTCAAATTCAAAGAGGGTGAGACCCAAAGAGGAAAACACAAGGAGGAAGCCTAATAAAGGGGGGGCCGGCGGCATTAAGTGGGGGAGGAGGATTGTGGGGAGGAATTTAAGGGTTTCTAAAATAACTCATGGGAATTAGGAAAGACATTAAGAAATCAAATCTAATTTGAATTTCAAATATGATTGATTTTATGCACTTTCCTAATTAGGATTTGCAAATAATGAAAGTATTTGAAATTTGAAATTCAAAATTCAAATTTCAAATAAAATTAATTTCTTTCCTTTCCTCTTGGAGTTAATTTAGGAGGGTAATTATGACGATTGGAATCATCATAATGGAATGGGCAAGTCGGGAGGCCGGCGGCAAAGAGGAAGGGGGCGGCTAGGTGTTGGGTTGGATGAAGCTATGGTGGCGGGTGGGCTTGAGGTGGAGTTGTGGGGTGATTTGGGCGGGGAAGATGGCCGGCGGTGGAAGCTAGGAGAAGTCGGCGGATGGGGTGGAGGAAATGGAGGATAAGATGAAGATAAATTAAAACCACGAGTCGCGAACTCTTTCAACGACTGGTAGGTATTGCGTGTAACAGCAGTTTTGCACATATCGTCCAGGCCGAACATGGATCGTCCTGGGACGATCAGTTCACAATTTGTTCCAGAATCTGTACAGAAGTTACAGGAATGATTTCCTGTAGGGATCGTCCGGGCCGATCTGGGTCCCGGGACGATCAGTTCATGGCAAAAGTCAGAGAGCAAATCGTCCAGGAAATTAATTATCGTCCTGAGAAATCGTCCCAGGCCGATTGGATTTTTGTTCAGATCGTCCAGGACGATCGTGCGATCGGCCGGGCCGATCAGACCAATATTTAGCTGAAATCAGCTCATTTTGAAGAGAGAGAAAATCATAAAATATCTAAATTCAGTTTGAGGAGAGAGAAAGTCGAGGAGAAAATTGAAAAAGTTGATTTTTGGGCGACGCCGGACCATTTTCGTCCATCGAGACAGTTCAAGAAAGTGTTGTACGCAAGGTAAGGCACATTCCGCCTTTCTCAATTTTCAGAACGGTGAAGTTTGAACGAGTTTTCTGTCCGGATTTCGTTTTCGTTAGCGAATTTTGTCCGTATTTTCCGACTAGTTCAGTTTTTACCGCGTAACTTTTGGTATGTTATTGAAGTGCCGAGTGTGCACGTTTTGATTATTTTCTGGAGAATTTTGACCGGGTAATTTTGATTCGGTGGTGTTTTCTTTCGACTGTAATTTTTGATAATTTCTGAATTTGTCTGGGCAGTAGAATAAAAGTCTTATAATATTGTTGTGAATGTTCTGTGGTAATTTGGTGAAATTCTGATTTGGTGAATTTTGTGTAAATTCCGTATACTGCC